AACAGACAGAAACAAATATACGCGAAACACAAGCAGAGACAAAAATACAACAATGTGCTGATATATGTCAGTTTGGGTGTTCTTCTGTAGTTAATGAACACTATATCAGCATCTGTAGCAACACATTCAAAATATATAGTTTCAGATAGTCTATCAAGGCGATGTAAATATCTGTAGCGTCGACGATTCCCCTGTAGTTGACGAAATATATTTGTTTACACATAAACCAGGCGGGTTGTTTTTATCTCTGTGTCACTGACCCCTCTTTTTTCTGTTTCTTTGAAGGCAAATTCAACTTAGACAAAGCCGACGGAGTTAAGGGAAATTTTGGTAGATAAAATACAGGAAACTGCTGCAACTTGGGGGCCCCTGGCTACGTGCTTCCACAGTAGAAAGGCACCTGTTTGTTCTTCCTCTTGACGAAGTGAAACTGAATCAATACCTACTCTTTAGCAGCCTAATATTTTTTATTTGTACTGCATTCTTAACTGTGGTGGTTTTTAATATGGGGAAATTCACGACGCCTGCATCAGCATACATCTTTCTTCTCATTTTCAGCTTCGTTGCTGCAAACTTGAATATGAAACGGCGGATATCAATTAGACGTTCTTCCTCTTTTTCAGCACGTCTCAGCCTGTAGCTTTCCCAGCTCGGTGTTTTTTTCTTTCAGTGTTCCTTTCTTTGTTTTTCTGTGAAGTTTTTCTTTGTCGGTATTCTTCCCTTGACGCTGCACGATTGCATCCAAGTGATATCGCAACGGCGCACCTTCGGTTCCAGCAACTTTTCTTAGCTGTACTGAAGCGCCCCTCCCCAATTCAATATAGCATCAGAGTGGGTTGAAGTCTACGTGCAGATAGCTGAAATCGCACTAGGGTGTCGACGAACCCAGCACCCAATGAGGTTAGTTAGGAGGCGGGGGTGCCATAGAGCAGCGTTCCGTGTGTGGGGATGAATATTCCTCAAAATTCAATGGCAGTGAAAAGGGAGCAGTTGATTTTACTCCAGTCAAAGCCACTTGTAGAGTCTTCAGCTGCAGGTGGTAGACGGAGGATGGGTAGCTTCAGTTTGCATCAATGCAATGCCAGTCGTCAAATTGCTGTGAAGCGGGTACTGTTTCCAATTGAGAGAAACATGAAGGAATGCAACTTCAAATTCACCAACCACTGCAGTATGAGTAGTATTCGAGGCAGCTGTTTCTGCGGATGCGTCGTGTCGTTGTGCGCAGCAAGCAGCAAACGCTGCAGCTGCAGCAAGCACTTTTCCTAGAATTAATAGTGCACCATTAGTATTGGTACTGCTGCTGAGATGAACGGACTCTCTGGCAGCTTGACAGGAATCTCAAAAGGCCTTCATACATGTGCGTGTTTCTACGATTCTTTGAATATGCCCTCCAAACAATGCTCTGCTTGCCTGTTTTGTTTTCCAACTAGCCCTTTTTTCATGACTCTTCCTCCGCAGTTTTTTTCAAAATACGCATGCTGGTATCAACCTGCCGTGGCATTGTACGAGTTTAGCAGAGCAAATGAATAAACGGCTCTGCAATCACTTAACCGAGAACTTCAGCAACCACTGGAGGGCTTTATCGCTCCCTTCGCGTTACAGCGCCCACAAAACAAATTTGGTGCATCGCATAGTTCGTACACTCAAGGAATTTTGCTTCTCACACTCTTCTTTAGTTTATGCCGTTTTCGAAAATTGTGTTGCACGCTGTAATGCGCATTTACTTTTGAAGTCCCCTTCGCGGTTAATGATACCAAATCTCCCGTATGGATTGCAAATGCCTGAAGAGCACAAGCTTGATGTTAGTAGCTCATTCGCTGGCACCTATCGAACAGAACCCACGCTCCTAGACATAGCGCAGAATGTGCCCTGGTGCTTCACTGTGCCACAGCCATAGAAAACCGATACGGCGGAGGTGCTCTGCCACACCAGCAATATTACTGTTCTGACAGTTTCACAACAACTACATTATGAGCATTTGCTTAAAAACTTCTATCTTGTGTGCTTGAATCAGACTGGCAGTGATGTGCTGCTTAGCTATAATAACTAAAGTCTAAGTGTTAGGATTTACATGAAACCACGAGCGCAGCGAAGCACCACAAGGCACCCTCTTCTCTCACAATGCAGGAGCCTCATCGCATTTATCTCCAGAAGTTGTGCGGAAGAAAATGTCGTTTTTGACGTCTTTAACGAACTTGAGGGAAGAAGGGAGTTTCTCCGTAGGGTGTTTGGGGGATAAGAAGTTCAGGAAAGGAAAGATGAGCAGTGAAGTTTGATGGGAACTAAAGGAGAACGGCCCATGCCAAACCGTAGGGGACCCCCTGAGTTGTTGCTCGTCCAGCGTGCCTTTCGAAGACCCGCCAAAAGCCGAAGCTCTGGCTTGGATGCCTATGCAAACTGTTTCTACCATGGTGCCTAGAAGGACGTTGTTGCACTGTCTTCAGAAGGCTGCCAATCAACTGCAAATTGTTCTTCTACTGACAGGTGCCGGCTACACTAAACTTCAGGTCCTCCTACGTTTTTCGCATAACCAGCATTGCCGACGGCGGCTTGCATACATATAATGCATATATGTATCATGATGAAGCCACTACCCCTGCCTCCCTTGGCAGCAGCTCAACGATGAGTGCTGTCAAGTTCCCCAGAAAATAGGAGGCAGCGAATTCAAGCTAGACACCAGAACACGTCTACCCGAGACCAGCATCATCGAAACTCATTCAGGCGTTCACGACAGCCAAGTTACTGGGCCCTAAGGCTGTAAAACCTCCAGCTGTTTTGCTTGCTGACTCCGAAACGCCGTGGAGATTTGGGAGGCTGTCGTCGTGAGTCTCGTCAAGTAATTTATGAAAATGAAGATGCAGAAGCGTAACCGAATCCTCACACCCCAATATGCCACGTATCCAGGCTCATTGTAAGTCGGTTTTAAAGAAAATGTCACAATTGTCCAAGCCTTCCCCAGAGAGGCGCCGGTCCTGCTACGGGGAAGCAACTGCAGTAGTACCATATTGAGAGAGGGGTGGTTCGATTCCGCCGTAGCCGTTCATTGAAGTTCTTGCTACTCAGGCAGAAATCGTTCAGCAAGCAGCTGCTTGCTGAACGTTTCTCCTGTACTATTAATAGGTTCGCTGTTGTCAAGGATCAGGAAAAGAGAAAAAGCCATGCGCCTACCAACCAACTGCAGTTCTCAGCGACTAACTAATGCTAGCTTCACTGTGGGACTGCCTGAACAAGCCTCTCTGTAACAGGCAAAGACTATTTCCAGCAAGGGGTACTGGCGAAGTCTCCCGTGCTTGCCTTGCTCAGCGAAACGAAGAGGGTGAGCAGTCTTCGTGTACTTTAGCGTAGAGCGGCCTAGCCCTCATACGAAATCTCTAGAAAGTATTTTCCTATGCCGTGTCCAAATGTGCTCTATAACATTTCCTACCCACAAATGACTCAATTGCCGCTTCTGTTGTGGGTATCAAACTATCCGGTTTCTGGAAAGAGTTTAAGTGCAGATTTGCAAGCACTCCCC